ATATTGTGGAATGGAAGGAACGTGGACTGGGATAAGAGGAAGGTCGTGAAAGTAAAAACAGAGGTTGAGAATTGGAAAGAAGTATTGCAAATCTTGATGGAGACACTTCGGCCAAAAGAGAAAATTACCCTTATCCCCTTTGAAAAGAGTAGAGCAATTCTTGATGTGGCCGAACATCAAACTGAGAGCAGAATCCTAGAATCCAAACTTGGCCAGATTGTTAGGAACTGCCTAACTCAAGGACTTTTTCGAGGAAGCCTGCCTCCAGAACGAGAGAGAGAGAGAGAGATTGTATTCCCAAAATCAATAATTCCTCTTCTGGCTTCCTTTCCTTATTTATACAATTCTGTTATATCAACCTCTCCACTTGTCTAGTTTGTTATTTAGTTTGTTCTAGTGGTTGGCTGTCAGTTACATTACTTAAAGGCTGACGTGGCCTTTTCTTGTACACTTGTATTCCCTTTATTTGTGTCTCAACAGTCCCTCCTCCCTTAAAAGCGACCTTGCCCTCAAGGTCAAGATGTGGAAATCTATTCTGTAAGTCCAAGTAAGGTTCCCAAGTTGCATCCTCAAGTGGGAGACTTCACCATACCACCAATGCCTCTGGTTCGATGTGATTCCATTTGCGAATCCACCAGAAATCTGTTATCTGGGTGGACTCAGTTTGAACTTGGCCATCTTCCGAGAATGATGGGAGGGTGGTTGTTGTTATTGTTCCTGTTTTTTGCCATTTCTTTAATAGAGATACATGGAATACAGGGTGCAATTTTGATGTTGCTGGAAGGTCAGGCCTGTATGCCACAGACCCAATGCGTTCCACAATCCAAAATGGGCCGAAGTACCTTGGGCTCAGTTTGTTCCACCTGTGGCCTATTACTGAAACTTGCTTGTATGATTGTAGTTTAAGGAAGACTTGCTCCCCAATCTGGTGCTGGACAGGCCTATGCTTTCTGTTGTAAGAGTCTGCCATCCATTGTTGGGCTCGATGGAGGTGGGATTTGAGATCTTGTAACACCCTATCTTGCTAGAGGAGTTGGTCTTCCACTGCTACTACTGCTGTAGACCCTTTCTCATATGGGAGTAGGGGAGGTGGGTCCCGTCCATATAGAGCCCGAAAGGGAGTCATTCCTGTTGCACTATGATACGTGGTATTGTACCACCATTCCGCCCAATGAAGCCACTTGAGCCACTAACGTGGCCTATCCCCTCCATAGCACCTTAGATAGGTTTCCAAACTCCGGTTGACCACCTCAATTTGCCCATCTGTTTGAGGGTGGTAGCTGGTAGATTTAGGGGTACCATGCAGTCATGCCACATCCTTACCAAAAATGACTCATAAA